TGCCAAATCGCGCTAAATATCAAAATCAATGTCTATTCATCGTCAGACCAAGTTGCCGCCAACCTTGATTGCAAAATTTAGTCGCCGCGGGGATCGAACCATCAAGGGTATCATTCACCACTTTTTTGGTACTACTAAAACCGTTCAGCGAAAACGAAACATGGTTTTGTGGTCCATACATGCGTCCCTACAATATGCAAGAAACCGTTTCCAAAAAGCGCGGCTTGCCCTGAAAGACCCCCTTGTAGGCCTTGGATGAAGCAGTGGCTCCGCCCAACATCATCAAAAAACAGTCTATTTCGCTTTGCTGCTACTGGCGGAAGAAACCATCGTTCTCGAGGGTTTCTTCCTTTTTTTCATTGCTGACATCACACCTTTCATCTCCACTGTCACTTACAAAGTAACAACACATCAATTTATCCCGAACTTTGCTTTTAAATTCATCAAAAATTAAGTTCTAGTATTATTGGAAGCGTCGCCTAATTACAGATCGTAAATCCTAAGCGTTGGATAACCTGTTTCAGTATATCACGTTGACCATGCACTACCTACCCTTCCTGTTCTTTCTAATGGTCCCGACAATCGTACAAGGTTTTACAAGGTTAGCTGTTCTTGAAAGGTTCACGGTTACGGTTCTCAGGGCCAGTGTTTGAAGGTGTTCTGGAACGTGGCGAGTCGCACATGTGTGAATGAGCAAGTCGAAATACCTCTCGACGAATTCAGAATCACCCACAATAAAGGTAACATGAGGTGAAGTAAGTGATGCTATGGCCTAAACTTTTAGTGGCTCTTTTCAAGAGCAACAGCGTAATGCTTTGAGCAGGTCCAGCCAAGTCACCCGTCTGTTCCATATTGGCAAATTGGAATAAAGGGGCGGGGTCGAATTTGTGATTTTTGGACGGGGGTTCTACTAGACCCTTTTTATTGCTGCAGTGCACCGTGCGGAAGTGCTGGATATAGACAAATAGTACCATTTCAAGCAAATAAGACAGTCCAAGGAAATTATGAGTCCGACTTCGGTTCCAGTTGACAAGGTGCGCCCTGGGAAGCAACTCAATCCCCTTGTGATAAATTACTGTAAAAAAAGTGTCTAGTTATGGCCGTGTGTAAGTAAAGATCAGAAGAAAGCATTTTGCCGTTGATTCGAGAGCCTCGCTTTGAGAATGCGAACGTATTTCTACTCATTTACATTGTAGTAAGCCAATTAACCGACCCCAGGGGGATGGAAGGCTTGATTGGCCCGGGCGACTCACGACCCAGGATTTGATCCCCTGACCGCTCGCTTGGTAAGCGTGCCACTTGCCACTACACCACTTCCGCCCTTGTGTGTAATAACCAGATCAAAATTGATACCTCTAATTATTATGTACGTCTTAGCTTTTTTTTCCAGACCAGGAGTTTTTCGGTGAAAAGGTAGTTGTTTTCTACGAATCAAAATTTGCGTTGTACCCGTACTATAAGGATTATGACTCCAATCAACCAATTAATGGAGGTTTACCTCAGGTATGCAGGAGTATTCATGTAAAGGATACTTTCTGACTTCCCAAGCTTTATTTTGCAGAATATTTCACTTCAAGCTCATTTGGATGCAGTCGCTCAGCAAATCCAAGCTGATATTCCGGATCCAAACTTTCATGGAATCGCTGTGATCGATTTAGAAGCATGGCGCCCACTTTACCACATGAATTGGGATGAAAAGAAGGTAGGTAATCCCATCTGGTCGCCAATGGTCTTCGTCACTAGATTGTACTTGACTCGCATTTATCATCATAGTCACCTGGAATGCGGAGATGATTTGTGAAAGTAGATGATATTCATGTTCCGTTATCCTGTGACAGATCAGAATACTATAGCAGAATCCGAACTAAAGGTGGTCTTCGCTTCTGGAACGAATACTCACCCGAAAGAGTGCACACCGTCCCAAAACTAAGTTAGATCCACGCATTCCTTGGTCAGCTAATCAGAGCTACTACTGTATCGCATCTGCGTCAGGACATTGAATGACAAGCGCACGACATCATATTCATTGACCGGACCGTCGCATAGGCCGATGTCAGACTTTGCGAATGTAGCAAATCGCGCGGCGCGAGCAATGCACCAGCGGGTCGAATGTATCAACGACTTGACAGTGTTCGAAAGTGGCGGAAGCTCTTCTCGTTCACACGTTCACTCTCACCACTTCCCCGGCTCACGAGAGCATAAGACCAGTGTCAGACTTCGCGAATCCAAGGAATCGCCAGAGACGAGTGTTGCACCCGCAAATCGAGCTCTGTACCAGCGGTTCGAACGATGTACCAGCGACTCGACACTGTTTGAAAGTGGCGGGACTTCCTTTGAACGTTGGCTCTCGCCACTTTCCCGGGCTCACGAGGGCATGAGAGAGTGAGAGGGTATGAGAGCTCGGGAAAGTGGCGAGAGTCAACGTGCAAACGAGAAGGGCTCCCGCACTTTCAAACACTTTGAGTTTGAAACACTTTCAGTCGCGACGCATCGTTTGAACCGCTGGTTCATTGCTCGTACCCTGCGATTCGCTAGCGGTTCGGTGGATCCGCAAAGTCTAACACGGCCATAAGGCAACCCTTGACACACGCCCCATCCCCAGAATGGAGCAAACTCGACTTCACGCCTCAGGCCGCCGCACCCTCCTGGGATCTTGTACTTAC